TCATCATTCATTTCTTTCTTTTCCTTCACCCTCTTCCCCCACTCCTCCCCTGGCCCTGCCATCCATCCTCCTCCTCCAGCCGCTCCCCCTTTATCTAATCAGCATAATATGGTTCTAAAGCTCCAGTTGGAGCTCGAGGCTGAGGCTGGAGCTGCCCAAGCCGCGGTAGCGGCGGCTCAAGCTGCGGCTGTTGTAACCGCCGCTACCCATTGTGATTGGTGGCTCGCGCTCGGCTGGAGCGTGCCGCTAATTTATTAATGAATGGAGGTCGCGAGTCGCAGCTGGCCAATCAGGGCGCCTCCAACTCCGGGAGGCCTGCGAGCCACGCGCACCGGAGCCCGCTCCTTTTCACTGACTCATTAGGGGCCCGGGAGCTGGGGGGCGGGTGGGGGCAGCGGTTTCAGCCCTCGCCCCTATCCTCGCGGCCGCTGCAGGTCCCCAAGCCCGGCGAGCGCACGCGCGTGCGTATCGCACCCGGCACTGCCGAGCCTCCTTGCTAGCGGGCGATGGGAGCAGAGGAATTAGTTAATGGGGGTCAGAATCCTGGGGAAAGCAGTCAGCCCAGTGGTGCTGCAGGGCGTCTCTTGGCAAAGCCTCTTAGGAGCTGTATCAAATAGTAAATGGTTTTAGAACGCATTCATTTGGTTAGGAGAGTGTGGGTGGCGACCTGTGGGCCCAACGTGGGCGAGCGCATTTGAGTTTCAGGACCTTTTTCAAGCAGGTGTCTCCTGGAAGGGAAGGTGGGTTTTAGAAGATGTGAAAGTAAAACTACTGACATGTTAGAACTATAGGGGACTGGGTATGGTTACAGTTTGTTTGCTTGTTTGTTTATTTGTTTGGGGGGGGGGACGCAATCCTAAATTATGTCTGTGCCATATAGCAAAGAGGTTTCTAGCCAGCCAAATGAGTGGAGCGGGAGCTTCAGCTGACATTTCCGTGACCTCTGCTCCTCCGCGCTGGGGGGCGTTGTAGGAACATGGGGCCCATCCTCCCAATTCTCCCAGCTTTTCAATGGTGAAAAAAGAGCTGAAGAGCCAGTGGACTTCGTAGGAAACTTGTTCTGAATTGCTCATCAGGTCCCCACACCGACTGCCTACCCACCCCTCACGCCCACCTTCCCATGAGACCTGAATTTCCTTAGAGACAGAAGCAGCGCCCTCAGAAAAATTAATGTTGGGCCGACTGTTAGAAGGTATATGAGTAGCAGAAGTAGGTCTGGACCCCAGCAGGCTGCAGAATTACCCTTGAGAGCCTGTTTACAAAAATTTAGGCAAGGCAAACTTGGCACTGTACAAGATGAAAAGTGGAAAGAGAAAGAGTACTGTCTCTGAATCTAGGTTTCATTAGGTTTAAGAAATTGAGAATAAGTTGTATTTCAGAGAAGGGAGTGATAAACATGATTGTTAGTGTTCTAACATGATTTTAATTTGTTTCATGTTTTCTGCAAGGAGGTAAAGAGCAGGATTAAAAACTCAATGTAAAGAAAATAAAAATTAGAATCTTGAGAAAGGGATGGATTTCCTTCTGAATTCTTTTCTTTCCAGACTTCCTTCTGTCTTGAAATTGGTTGAAATTTGACATGATTTTCGCTTGTTCTTTAATATTTGCAGACCCCTTTAAAAGTTCCCTAAATTTAAAAGCATTATTTCCCAAGTTCTCTCAGCTATCCTTTAATCATATTCTTCTATTTATTTAATCTATGCTGAGCTTCAAAAAGACGAAGGAATTGGACTATATGAAGAGGAACTAGGCACAGATGACACAATCTTGCTAGCTGAAAGGGAAGAGTATTTGAAGTACCTACTGATGAAGATCAAAGATGATAGCCTTCAGTATGAATTCTACCTCCACATAGATAAAATAAAACTTCTCACAACTGTACCAATAAGCAAACGCGTCGTAAATAGAGAAAATACTGATGTTGCCAAGCATTTCATTTTACGTGGATTCACAATCAATGACCATGGAAGCAACAGTCAAGAAATCAAATATATATTGCATTGGGAAAATCTGCTGCAAAAGACCTCTTTAAAGTGTTGGGGTTTTTTTTGTTGTTGTTGTTGTTATTTTAAATGTCACTTTTCAAACTAAGGTGCATCTGACCCATGTCATGGCATTGCAGTCACCTCATATGCATGTGAAAGTTGAACACTGTAATAAGGAAGACTCTGAATCATGGTGTAACTGAAGAATATTAAATATACCATGGATACAGAAAATGGGTTAACACAATGGCTGCAACAATAGTCTCAAAAAAGTAATAATTGTGAGGAAGGTGCAGTACTGGGCAGTGTTTCATTCTGTATATAGAGTCACTATGAGTGGGAACTGACACAACAGCACCTAACAACAACTCTCCAATTCCTTTATAATGATTTAATTTCATTTTAATTATATTACACTAGTGCAGAAATGATAATTAAAGAAGGAAAGAGTGACAAATTAGTCTCCTCAGCATTCAGCATCTCCCACATTTTTTAGGTCTCTGTCTTTATAGCATGAGCCTGAAGACTCAGAACATCATAAAGGAGTTTGGTAAGTCAATCGTGAAAGATGATAGAAGTGCTTACCTTGTTTGCATTAAACATGAACATTATTTTATAGGCAATGACCACTGATACCAAACAAGCAGACTCATCTCACAGCCACCACAAAAGAAACTCCACCGAGAATGTTGTTCTTTTAGTAACCAGCTAATGATTGAAAATTCATACAGGAGTGAATACAGAATGATTGTTGCTCTGTTCATTTCAATGAAATAAAGACTGAGAAAGTGAGATTCCTAGAAAATTATCAAAGACTACAAAAAAATAAATATTAGAATAATGAGAAACCATGGTGTGTCATCTTTGCTACATCTCTCTGCAGGAGTTGCCTACAAAAGAAAGACAAGCCAATAAATTAATGCACTAGAAAACAAAGGAAGGTTTATTTTATTATCAATAGAAACTTATCTCTTTAGACAGATTTTGGATTTTTAAATTTTGGTTAAGCTAAAAAGTACTGTATTTGATGATTAAATACATTTGGGGAAGGACAGAATCCGGTGGAATCCAGTTAAATAAAGACTTAAAGGAAAATCTGCTGAGCTTTGAATAATTCCAAATGGACACTAAGATCAAACTAAGTCAGTCTAATGTTTACTGCTAGTGAAACACACAGTGCTTTTCTTTAGTTGATTGTTAACAGTATTTGGGTGTCTGATTCCCAAGTTTTTATGGTCTTCCAACATTTTATGTTTTTATGATACACTGAAAGATACATGCTTTCCTTTGACAAAATCCAAATCTTCTCTACTGGCTATGAGTGAGAAGTTAATAATACACATTTAAATGTATCATGTGCCTATGTTTAGTATCAGTTATATGTTCAGTATCAGTTTATGCTTTGTATTGTGCCTTTGAGAGCTTCCAACTCATAGTGACCCTGTACAGGGTTTCCAAAGCTTGTAAATCATTGTGGGAGCAAAGAGCTTCATATTTCTCCCAAGGGTGGGCTAGTGGACTTGAACCACCAACCTTGTGCATACAGTCCTTTACTTATCCTATGGGAACACCATGCTCCCCATGCTTAGTATTAGTAAATAGACAATAAAATAGTATCTGGATAAACTGCATATATCCTCTTCTGGAAATTACCTTCAAATAGATGAAAAGTATTCCAACACTGTGCATAGTCAAAGACTAACAACATAAATCAATCTCTAATTCACTTAAGTATACTGATGTCGCTATGGGTCGGAACCGACTCGACAGCACTTAACAACAACAACAACATACTGATGTTATGGGATTGATAGAATTTAATTTTAAAAATAAAGACTTCTTTGGGCAAATAAAGTGGTGTATGTTAGATCTGGTACAAAGTACAGGCATTAAACAAAAAGCACCCTCTACCCTTTCTAGAAATTCTCACAATTTTGGTTGTGTGTTTGCACTGTAACTTTCAAGACCAGTGTTGCTCTTCACACTTGATAATAGAACACTGCTAAAAATATTTACCACTTTGAAAGTATCAACTGAAATAAAGGAAGAAAATGAAAGAACTCCCAAGAATGTTGCAGGACAGTTTGGTAACATTGCTGCAATCCAGAGAGAC